CGAGCTCAATGGTATTTCTTGGGAATAGCAGGAAATGGATGGCCAGAATACCACAAACCAGTAGATTGCAAATGAGCCAGCTCCAGGAAATTCGTGTACCTGGATGTTCAGCCGAACATCAAAACAGGTTGTACATACCCAAATTAATCAACCGCAGTTTATTGATAGGTTGGTTTTTCCCTCCAAAAGTGATGAATCCCCAAACCCAGGGACACCCCCCTATTCACAAACAGGGGGTCGATTTTCACGGGGTCAACATCAACCAGAGTGATTTGGCTGTGGCTCAAACCACCGGTACCAAAATGGAACCCTGGTAAGGAGCAACATGGACCAAACCTTGCTTGACCCTAGCTGTTTAATTTTAAGCCACACCCATTTCTGGCACCAGGCCCCAAACCCAGGGACCCAGGGACACCCCCTATAACCAGGGGTCGATGTTGATGGGGTCAACATCCACTAGAGTTATTTGGCCATGGGCCAAAACCCAAACAGTGAACATCCCAACCCGCACTAAAATAGGTTCTAAAATGGGTGGTGAATTCACCTACCAACCAAAATGGGATCCCAAAACGGTTTTCAGCCGCAGCCAATTTCTGCCGAGGCGCAGCAGTGGCGCTGGGCCCTGCTCATCTTCTCGTCTCTGCCGGCCGACGCGCCGGACGCGCGCGCGGTGAACGCGGTGGTGTTGGCCTGCGCCAAGGCGCGCCAGTGGCGCCAAGCGGGCGAGGCCCGAGGGGGAAAGGCAAGAGTTTGTTTTTTTAGTAAATAAATATATATAAAAACAATCACGAAACTGGACGACGATGAATCCTTTTTCCCCCCAGATAGCTGAAAGCTATAGGGGTTCTAGCTTCCTATGAAGAGGAAAAAGGGATTTGCGAGAATGACGGGCTGATGCTAGGGGGCGTGCAGTTTGGGATGCTAGCGTAGGTGCTGTTTGGGGGTGCTTTTTGAGGTGCTGGTGTTTGTGCAGGCGCACTTTTGCAGAGGCAGGGTGCAGGGCAAACAGTTTGGGCGGGTTTGAGGTGCTGGTGATGGTGTGGGCACATTTTGCGCGGTTGACGGCTGGGTGCGGGGGGCATTTAGGTGACGGTGGAGGCGCATTTTGCAAGATTGACGGTAGGGTGCTAGGGCAGGTGGGATGTGACGGTGCAGGCGCATTTTGCCAGATTGACGGCCAGAAGCTGTTTGGGGCGCTCTTCGGGGGTGCTGTTCATTGGTATATTTTTTTAAACGAAACTGGACGATGATGGCTTAGAGTGGGGGCTGACTTTTTAGACTTGGAATCCGTTTGTTTTCCCCCGAAACTTTGGACAATGATGGCTTGGAACGGGGGCTGACCTGATTTTGGGGGGTTGGACACCTGAGAAATGCCCCGCAATTGCCGCAAGTTGTGCAAGGAGTCCTCCATTTTGGGAATCCCCCTCGAGCTCGCCGATGTTTGGCTTATGTCTCGAGAAGCTCACTCCTGTGAGGAGAGACATGAACATCCAGAAGGGAGAGAGAGAGAGAGAGAGAGAGACCCACCCTTCCAAAAGGTTCTAAGAGTCTTTCCCGGGTAGGGGGGCCTTTAGTCTTTTTTGGCTAATCTTCCTTGGACTTCGACGAGAAGCCAAGTAGAATTTGCTAAAATGCTTGCTTGAGGTTTTGTAAGTTGCGTGGGCAAACAACTGTCGAGCTGCCTGGAAAGCGAGGCCTCGTGCAGTGAAACCCAGGTCTTAGAACGTAAAATCCCCTTCGAATCTGGAGCCAAGGAGCCGTGTTCAAATGTTGTTCGTACCCTCCTGCCCCGCCCAAACCAACACACACACACACAACACACTAGGTCCCCCAGTATTGCCCTTTTGCCCTTTTTTGGGGGAGGTTCCCCTACTGAAATAGACTACAGAAAACAGTTGGTACCCTTATTCTCCTCCTCCTCTACTGGAGGACCCCACGCACACCACACGTAGCGACCAAGTCGCGTCGCTTCTCGAGGCCCTTGGCGAGAACTCCACGGCCCTGGCCCTGGGCGCCTACCTCGCCGCGGCGCCCGCGGCGGCGGCGGGCGCGGCCCTGGCGGCGCTGCGGGCAGCGGGGGAGGCTGCGGCGCGGCAGCTGGGCGCCTGGGTTGGGTGGGAGGGTGGAGGGTGGGCGGGGGGGTGAAGGGGGGAGGGTGGGGGGGTGGGTGAGGGGTGGGTGGGGGTGGGTGGGGGGGAGGGTATGGGGGGGAGGGTAAGGGGGGAGGTGGGGGGTGGTGGGAGGGAAGGGGTGAAGGGGTGGGTGGAGCTAGGTGGAGTGGGGAGCAAAGGTGACATTGGCCGCATGCATTCATGGACGTGGCCGGCGGCCCATGTCCTTCAAGGCGGCAAGCTGTCCTCAGCAAGCGACCCTGGCTCAATATTCTACCAGAATATGGGGTTGATATGCACAGTACACCATCCCAAAACCGCCACCCTTGGGCAAATCTTTGGGACATCTACATATAGCTGCCCCCCCATACCGCGCACCAAGGATAATTCGCGGACCCCGCGTTCGACTCTTCGAGCGTCACGGACTCGCCCGTCAAGAAGCGCGAGAACGCTGGCTTGCTGACTTTGAGTAGCCCAGGCATGGCCTTGTTTGAGTTTTTTTTTTCTTCTTTCTTTATTTTTTTTCCAATTCTGTTTTGCTCTCTCTCTCTCTCTCTCTCTTTCCTTTTCTCTTTCTTTATCTTTCGCTTTATTTATTTTCTCTTTCTCTTGTGAGGAAAGAGAAGGGAATGGGGAAAGGGAAGGGGAAGGGAATGGGAAGGGGAAGGGAAAGGAAGCAAACGGTGAATGGGGGCAAGATGGGCCAGAAGCAGAAGACGCTTCTTACATGCAAGGCTTTGGAATCTTGGTCACTGGCAAGTCTTCAAACTTGGGGTGAAGTGCTTTTGGTGCCGGCAGTCAGGTGAGCCACACTTGCACCCACGCACCCACGACCACGCTCGCCAAGCGTGCTAAGGAGACTGGAGCAGGGTTCTAGGGCAAGGGAGTGGTCCCAGGTGTTATGCTTCCAGGTTTCAGTTTAAATGTGTCGTTTGGGATTTGTCCTTGTAGGATGTTTGAAGGGTTCAAGAGTTCTTCTTGAGGCACAAAATGAGTTCCTCAACAGGGTGGTCCTTTGGCCAAATCCTGACAAGTTTGGCCATCGGTTTAAGAAGAAGAGGACATTTTGGGCACGCATTTCCATAGAGTTTTACCAGATAGTGCATCGGATACTCGAGCTGGGTCGACGTTCGGTAGCATCTTACATGAGATCCGTTGAGGGATATGGGGAGCTAAGGCTTTCAAGGACATGGTGGACCGAGAGGGACTTTTCCTTCAGCCAGGGTACTCTCTAATCTACCCATGTCTATAGAGAGCAAATGTTGATTGCGGCATGTGTCCTTTGAAACGATGAGAACCATTGAACTCCTAGGTTTGGGCTTGAGCATTGACCAAGCAAGTCGCTGACACCAATCACTGGAAGTGAGGAATCGTTGGTGGTCTGTGGGTCTGGGAGCAGTGGCTTGTCCAACCAACAGTTGGTTTTTCCCCAGGCACCCGCACACCAACCAAAAAACAACAACATGGCAAGGGTGGCAAACTGAAAACACCAAAAGGCTGGGTCGGGACGGGACAAAAAGGAAGGTGCGGGGCCCGCCAGCGAGCCGGGCGAGGCAGTTTCTGATAAGCGAATGGCAGTGGGGCCGATCCAGCGGCAGATGCGCCTTCTGAAGCTCTCCCAGTGCCCTTTTTTGTCTTTTTGGCTGAAGGGATTTCTTGAGGTCAGAGCCAAAGGCGTGGTAGGCGTGGTCAAGCAGGCCCCAATGGATTCAGGTACAGTACCACTCTAGCAAGTTGCCACGCTTTCACTTGTCAGGTGACAGTTAGGACCTGGAAGTAAGAACTCGGGTTAGCAGCTAGCTGGGTATTTATGTGAATGTTGTTGATGGGCAACTCACTCAGACATGTTTGGTGGACATGCAAAGGTGATGGCCACACGAGAGTCCCCAATTAAAGTTCATACCTATGAATGAAATCAAACATCGATTTATCTAGGAATATTGCATATATAATACGTATATATCAATATAGATAGAGATGTAGCTATAGATAGGGATGTAGATGTAGGTGTAGATATAGTTTTGTTGCATGTGTAGAGGTAGGTCCTTTGGATCGCCTTGTGGCCATTCCTTGGCAGCAGGAGGCGCCATCCGTTGACAGGGAGCTCGGACGTGCGACGGCCTAAGCCAGCTTGTTTCACCAAATGGCCAATGCTAAGACCAGTGGCCAAATGGGTGTGTCTTAAAACCGCGGACCCCAGGTTTGCCGTTGAAACCACACAAAAGGAGGTTCGCTCAGATGCACCCACATAATTGATTAGATTTGTGGGGTGCCTTATTTTTATTAGTCACTGTAGGGCAATCATGCGTGTAATTACTTAGCCCCTGAAAAGATCTGTGCCCAAAGTTTGGGAAGTCTCGTATGGCCTTTTGGGCCATTTCCGTTTTGTTCCCAGTGCGTAGCCAGAAGCTGGACCTTTTCCAGGGGTCAGTGGGACCAACCCGGCTTGGTCACTCAACAGCAATGCCATTTCTGTTTGGTTGTAGTTGTGGGCCACTCGTTGCCGCTGTTCGTGACAAGTCTCCGGACAATCTCCCAAGTGGAAAAGCTGCACTGGGGATGGGAATTTGCCACTTTGGTATCGCAAGGGGCAACCATTTTCCACAACCACGTTTGGAGGTTTCTGATTAGAAAGCGCTGGCAACCTATCACCGTTCGAGGTTGGGCAGTCTCCTGCCCATTCTTTGGTCAGGGTTCTTCTATTTCCTGTTCGAGGCATCGGCCTTGCAGTCAATGGCCCTTCAAGGGTTTTTGCCCACTCAAGGCGAGGGCGTGCGAAAGCAAACCGGAAGGCTGTACCCATTTTGGGCTGGCTCTCTTCAGGCATGCTGCCTAGTTGGTTTTGGCTCATCATCGCCTCGCCGCCTTGCTCCAAGCTCCGACTGCCGCAGGCTCGCAGGCTCGCTCGCTCGCAAAAACCCGCGCGCGACCCAAGGGAACGGAGCGATGTCCTCCGAGCCGATGGTGGAGGATGAGTTCGGTGCGCGGGATGAGCTGGGGCTGACGGCGGTGACGGAGAAGACCCAGACGGAGGCGCAGGCCTACAGGCGGAGCGGGAGGGCGCGGGGTGCTGCAGTTGCTGCGGGGGTAATGGGCGGTCGCGGGTTCGCTTCGGTCCTAGTTGCTGGCTCGCTTCGGTCCTAGTTTTCATCTCGCTTCGGTCCTAGTTTCCTTACTCGCTTCGGTCCTAGTTTCTTCGCCGTTGACTATGGTGTTTGAGAGGCAACATCCTTGTCGACCCCACCCCACCCGGCATGTCTTGTTGTTAGGTGTTTGAGAGGCAACATCCTTGTCGACCCCACCCCGCCCGGCATGTCTTGTTGTTAGGTGTTTGAGAGGCAACATCCTTGTCGACCCCACCCCGCCCGGCATGTCTTGTTGTTAGGTGTTTGAGAGGCAACATCCTTGTCGACCCCACCCCGCCCGGCATGTCTTGTTGTTAGGTGTTTGAGAGGCAACATCCTTGTCGACCCCACCCCGCCCGGCATGTCTTGCTGTTAGGTGTTTGAGAGGCAACATCCTTGTCGACCCCACCCCACCCGGCAGTTCTTGTTGTTAGGTGTTTGAGAGGCAACATCCTTGTCGACCCCACCCCACGCGGCATGTCTTGTTGTTAGGTGTTTGAGAGGCAACACCCTTTGCGTGTGTCCTGTTGTTAGTGCTCAAAAAGCTATCTTCCACTGCGCCTGAAGTGATCCAAAATTGCGACAGAAGTGATCCGCAAATGCTCAAACTACGACCAAAGTGAGTGGATTTCAGCTGCGACCAAAGTGATCCAAAAACTGCGACCAAAGTGATCCCCCCGCCATTTGCTCGTCAATGAGAATGTTTGTATGGGGATGTTTGGAATAAAGAAGGCAGAACAGAATGTCCGAGCAGCCCAGAAGGACCCCCAGGTCCCCTGGTTGAAGATGTCAGTCTCTCCCCAAGCTCCTGGGCCACTGCGGTGTACCTGAGCTTGTTGGGAACAAAAAGGCTGGATGCGACACCGGAATGAGATTTGGATAGGTGGCATAGGATCCATGTCTCAATCAATTGTGAGCACCGTGCTCACACATCCTCAACGGCTGCAGCAGAGTGGGACTCATTGTTTTGGCCCCAGTTTCCAAGAGGCGCACCCGAATTTTGATCGATGGGTGCTTGGGCCCCATGCGGCAAAAATGCGTCCTTTCCTGGCCGGGACTTATATTTTCCTCTTTGGGCAGTTGAACTGTCGCCTTTTGGGCCAATTGAGTAATTTGAAGAAGCCCAGTGGCCTTGGCCTTTGCCAGTCCTATGTCAGGCGTCCGTATATCATTTTTTCCCGGAAGCATTGCGAAGGGTTCTTCTTCTAAAAGCGGCTGCCAACTTCACCTGCCAACTTCTCATGCCAACTTGTCGAGAGTTACTTCACCTGCCAACTTCTCATGCCAACTTGTCGAGAGTTACTTCACCTGCCAACTTCTCATGCCAACTTGTCGAGAGTTACTTCACCTGCCTACTTCTCATGTCAACTTTTTGAGAGTTACTTCACCTGCCAACTTCTCATGTCAACTTTTCGGCTGTTATCTCATTCTACTAAAAGCACAAGCTAATTTGTCGGGTGTTACTTCACTATCCTAAAAACACAAGCTAACTTTTCTGTTCTACCTTCACATCTCGACTCTTAATTCTTCTTCTTTTTATGGCGGGGGTAGGCCCGACGGGAGCTTACGAAACGCACCCCTCTGCGGAGATCGTGCGTGTCGAAGCGCTCTCGCTGTGGCGCCGTGCGAATTTGTCTTGACCTTGGCGAACCCTCTGCGGAGATCCTGCGTGTCGAAGCGCTCTCGCTGAGGCGCCGTGCGAATTTGTCTTGACCTTGGCGAACCCTCTGCGGAGATCCTGCGTGTCGAAGCGCTCTCGCTGTGGCGCCGTGCGAATTTGTCTTGACCTTGGCGAACCCTCTGCGGAGATCGTGCGTGTCGAAGCGCTCTCGCTGTGGCGCCGTGCGAATTTGTCTTGACCTTGGCGAACCCTCTGCGGAGATCGTGCGTGTCGAAGCGCTCTCGCTGTGGCGCCGTGCGAATTTGTCTTGACCTTGGCGAACCCTCTGCGGAGATCGTGCGTGTCGAAGCGCTCTCGCTGTGGCGCCGTGCGAATTTGTCTTGACCTTGGCGAACCCTCTGCGGAGATCCTGCGTGTCGAAGCGCTCTCGCTGTGGCGCCGTGCGAATTTGTCTTGAGCCCGATGAACCCTCTGCGGGGATCGTGCGTGTCGGATCGCTCTCGCTGTGGCGCCGTGCGCATCTGTCTTGAGCCCGATGAACCCTCTGCGGAGATCGTGCGTGTCGAAGCGCTCTCGCTGTGGCGCCGTGCGATTTTCTTGCTCGCGAAACGGCTTTTGGAAGTTGTTCTCGTGGTGTGCGCGCCTGCTTTTCGCAATCCCGCGGTCCCGGGTTCGATTCCCCCCTGGTCCGCGGCAGCTCCGGCTTGAAAATCGCAGCTTTTAAGTACAAACGTAGTACGCGGAGCGTGCTCCTGCAGCTCCGGCTGGAAAATCGCAACTTTTAAGTACAGACGTAGTACGCGGAGGCTGCTGCAGCTCCGGCTGGAAAATCGCACTTTTTAAGTACAGACGTAGTACGCGGAGCGTGCTCCCGCAGCTCCGGCTGGAAAATCGCAACTTTTAGATACAAATGGCTGGAAAATCGCAACTGTAAATTGCAAATGTAGCACGCGGAGCGCCTCCGCCGCTCCAGCTTTTTGAGGGTTAATTACTTCACCTGCCAGTTTCTCATGCCGAAACTTCGAGAATTACTTCACCTGCCAGCTTCTCATGCCACCTTTTCGAGAGTTACTTCACCTGCCAACTTCTCGTGCCAACTTTTCGAGGAGTTACTTCACCTGCGAGCTTATCATGCCAACTTTTCGAGAGTTACTACACCTGCGAGCTTCTCATGCCAACTTTTCGAGAATTACTTTACCTGCCAACTTCTCATGCCAACTTTTCGAGAAATACTTTACCTGCCAACCTCTCGTGGCAACTTCACCTGCCAACTTTTCGAGAATTACTTCACCTGCCAACTTCTCATGCCAACTTTTCGAGAAATACTTTATCTGCCAACCTCTCGTGGCAACTTTTCGAAAAATTACTTCACCTGCCAGCTTCTCATGCCAACTTTTCGAGAGGTACTTCACCTGCCAACATCGCCTGCCAACTTTTCGAGAGTTACTTCGCCTGCCAACTTCTCGCGCCAACTTTTCGAGAATTACTTCGCCTGCCAACTTCTCATGCTAACTTTTCGAAAGTTACTTCACCTGCCGGCTTCTCACGCCAACTTTTCGAGAGTTACTTCACGCGCCATCTTCTCGTGCCAACTTTTCGAGAATTACTTCACCTGCCAGCTTCTCACGCCAACTTTTCGAGAGTTACTTCACCTGCCAACTTCTCATGCCAACTCTTTGAGAGTTATTTCACCTGCCAACTTCTCATGCCAACTTTTCTCTTGAGTTACTTCGCCTGCCAACTTCTCATGTCAACTTTGCGAGAATTACTTCACCCGCCAACTTTGCCAGCCAACTATTCGAGAGTTACTTAACCTGCCAGCTTCTCATGCCAACTTTTTGAGAATTGCTTCGCCTGCCAACTCCTCATGCTAACTTGGCGAGAGTTACCTCACCTGCATCAACTTGCCTCTATGCTTCCGGGCCACTCGTCGTCTAGTTTTTGTGGGGGGGGGAATGCACATTGCAGCTGTGTAGCTCTTTAAGAGGGTTTCCACACAATTCTTCGGGTAGGATGTTTCGTTTGACTTCAACCAAAGGAAAGCATAAAAAAAAGAACTAAGCAAGGCACGGGGTAGAATGGTGTCCGGCTGCAACACCCGCGAGCGGAGGGAGGACTTCGGTTTAGGAGGGTTCAATGGGCAGGGAGGCTTGAAATATGGGCGTGGCTAGTTGGTACCTGCTCCTTGGGGGACGGTTTTAAAAGGAAACCCAAAGGAACACCGGAGCCAGTTTGAAGCCCCGGAGAAAAGACTAGTCCCTTTAAATGGCCATAGTCTTCCAGAACCCCCTGTCACGTTCTATGCTTTTGGATGGGAGGGTAGTGGTTCTGTACGAAAACCGAAGACTTGCACATCTCGCCAGCTCCTACATGAAGATGCTGCTGCTGCGCGTGCCGCTGATCGGGCAGGTGTTGGCTTGGTCTCTCTACTTCCTCGCCAAGTTTCTCGGCGATCAAGAGGGGGCAGTTTTGAGTCGGCCAATTGATCAAGCTGGGATTTCCCCAGTTCGGCACTTCCCGTCATGGATTGCCAAATCCAATCTTACGACCTTGGACAGTCTGACACATGTCCTGGCAGGGCGGGAAGAGTTTGAAGCAGAGTGAAGAAACCCCTGGATTGTTCATGGTGTCCCGTTCAAGAGGGGTTCCGGATCAATTTATTTTTCTGGACCAAAGCGAGGTACGCCTTGGGCATGAAGCACATTTTGGACGCCAAGTTCGATTTCATAAAGGCGGGGGGGGGGGGGACTTTCAGCAAGCAGGAAGCCTACAACCTACTTCTCTGCCCCATCAGTCAGACCCGCCCACCAAGATTTTATAAAATTTCATACCAATCTCCCATATCAAAACCCATATAAGTTTCATAACACGTGCCTAACCAACCTCATAATCAAAATGTTTTAAGTTATTCATTTTATAAAATAACTTAAACCATTTCATACATCCTTAACCTCATTCTTTTCTAAATTTTCTATGTGCTTCCTTGCTCTTCCATTGCCTTTTTGTGTTTTAATGTTTGTTGATGCTTTTTGAGGTTTGCCTTCCATAGTTTTGCGCCACATTCACATTGGATTTCTTGGCGGGTTCTCTCTCTCCATTGTTTATCCATATCTTTTTTCCGCTCCTTGTTGTTTTCTCGCCACTGTTTTGCCTGTTCTTTCACATAATCTTTATTTGCCTCTTTCCATTTCTTTATATGCACAGTGCGCCCTTCGGGGTCATCCTTGTATCGTTGCCTGTCATATTCCCTGATTTTGTCAATATTTGCATTGCGGTGGTCTTTTTGCCTTTGAAGCACTGCCTCTCTGTTGTCTTCTCTGTATTTCTTCGCTTTTTCGGCGCATTCTCCCCTGTTGTCTTCATACCATTGCTTTTTATTTCTTCCTGCCACTTTGTTATTTAAAGTTGCCATTTGCCTTATCCAATCTCCCTCTCTTGCTCTTAGTTCTTCCTTACTTTGACACGGGAATAGTTCTAGAAGTTCTATGTAAAATTTATCTTTGCCATGTAATGCCATGTGCTGATACAATTTGTAGTGCGGTTTATGCTCCATTTTTGCCTTGTGTTTTGCGATTCTTTGGCAAAGTTTTTCAACAGTTGAACCAATGTATATTTCATCATCAATTGAATTCAATATCTGATATATTTTGCCATTCTCATACTTACACATATCTATATAATATTATCTTTTTTCCTCTTTATATATCTTTTTTATTCTTCCTAATCTACTTTCAGCAATTCATGCCTCAATAATGGTTTGGGTCTTCCATTGACATAATAATATGTTTGTCCTAACTTTGTTTCTATTCTTTCAATGGTGAAGATTTCTTTCAACCAATGACTTGTATGTGCTTTCTCGCTTATTCCCTTCTTTCTCATTATCTTTACCTGACTGGATATATCCAAATCAGGATAAACACGGGTTTTTCTGGCATTCATTGATATATTCAGTTTGACTTCAAACTCATTTTTATGTTTCCTTGCTTCTAATGGTGTCATTTTCGTAATAGAACTTACCAATTTATTATTATAAGTTAATAATATTTCCAATATGTAGTCAGTCCATTGAATATTATTTTTACCTTTCTTCTCATCGGCATCAACTCTTTTGAAAAGCATATCTTTAAATGTCCTTATGAAACGTTCTCCGAAAGCAGGGTGTCCCCGTGTAGTGTGTAATTCAATTTTCTCTTCCTTCAAATAATCTGTAATGGTAGAACTAAACAGACTGCCTTCTTCGTCGCTGTATATTAATTTAGGTTTGCCATCCATCTTTTTTAATCCTCCCATTATTCCAGCTAATACATCAGCAGGTTGCTTACTTTTAATAGGTATAACAGTAGCATATTTACTGAATATATCAACTAATATTAATCCAACTCTAAACTTTTGATTATCCAAATCATTTTTTGAAATGAAAAACAAATCCAACTGGAATTCCCAGAAGGCATGAGGAGCAACAAAACTATTTTGTCCTCTTGGTTTTCTTTTCTCTTCAATATTATTTTTAAAGAATTCATTTACATCACTCATAGTAATTGTTTTGTCCTTCCTTCTTGCATCTTGTAAAGTTACAGCTTTACTACCATAACCGCTTTTATCATAATAAATATCACTAATTATTTTTTGTTTATCCATATAATAAATTAAGATTTATTATATTGATAATATAATTTATAATTTAAGTTCAGGATAATAAGTTAATTGATGACTATTTAATGCTTGATACATCTTGCTCCTTTCAAACATCATTTTTAAAAAAAATATATTAATGTCTCTCACTGTATTTTTAACATTAAACTTTTTACGTTCAATATATGTTTTTATATCTTCTTTTAAATCAAAGCCTGTCCTTCTATGATATAATAGCATCCATAATACACTGTTAATCATGTCATACTTTTTCTTACTGATTTTAAGAAATGCTCTAATATAACTATAAGGTGGTCTTTCATACACAGTTAAAAATATTATAGTGTCATCTTCAACATTTCTATTATGTCTTCTTTTTATGTTCAAATGACATCTGATTAATTCTTGATTATCTCTCCATTCCTGACAAATTTTACATTCGTCTTCTTTACTCAAAGCATACTCAATAATATTATTAACTATTCCATTAGGTAAATTTAATTTGTATAGTTCCATATTCTCTTTTTTGACATGGCAACAGTCATAGCATTTCTTATTAATATAATTATTTACTTCTTGTTCCTTCATTACTCTCTACTATATATAGGTATTATGTCTTTAAGCCCTTTTTAGTCTAAAACTAAGATTTTAAAATTAGATCTTAAAATCTTAATGTGCTGATACATTACAATAGTAGCAATAACCGACGCAATTATCTATTTCAGGGCTTGTATCATTACAAAGCCTTTGTGCGGTAAAGTTGCTACACAATTTACCTTGTTTAGTTTCAAAGTTAAATGGTGTATTACACTTCTGGCATCTGTTCTTGAAATTATCCAAGCACCATTCGGCAGTTATGTATTCCTCTTCATTGATTTCTCTCTTTGCTTTCCTATCCTGTATTTTATAATTTTCTACTTTATTCTTAAAATATCTCATTATCATATTTTTATTCAATTGCTTTTCAAAGTCATTGTTCTTGAAAAATCTGACTTTTCTGAAATCAACACACCTTGTAATAGAAGTCCAAATCCACTCACGATTTACAAATGGTAAATTCCATTCATGAATTGTCATGCTTTCTTTCACACTTGCACCCTGTGAAGAATGGCATGTTGCACAATATGAATAAATGAAATTAGCATCTACAAAAGGTTCAAACAACATAAATTTATCTTCTTCATTTGCTATGTTTTGCAATGTTATTTGCTTCCCTAATTCGTCATTTTCAATCATAACTATTCTATACCTTAAATTTACATTGACCCTCGGCTTTTGTATCCATTTTCTGGCAATCAGAATATCACCTACTACATATTTGGCATTTATGTTTAATCTGTCTCTGATTTCACTTGCTACATTTCTACACCGAATATTAGTATAAGCTATATTATGTTCCGAAGCCATTATATCATCAGTAATCTCAAAGTATTTAGGTATTATTTCATTGATAGGCAGTTTCTTTTGCCAGAAGTCATCATACATATTATTTATTATCTCTCTGTTCATGTCTCCTTCAATGCTGTCTTTTGCGCCTACTCTCTTACATACTGTTAAAAAGATGTTGTATTTAAAAATTGTATCTAAGCAATTATCCATATATGTCGCTGGGTCTTGGCAGTTGGTCATTGCTTCCACCCCTTGCAATTGCTTGACGTCTCCCGTAGCAATTACAATTTTATCAGGATTATTTTGAATAAATAACCTTACTTTATTAAGAACATACAAATTTGACATATAGATTTCATCAAATACAATCACATCATAAGGTGAGTAATCATACTGTGGCAATTTCTCTCCGACATCTTCATGAACGGCAATGCTAAAAAACTTATTGTAAGTGGTGGCTTCTACTTCTTTTTCTTGTAAAAGCCGGTTAGTTGGAACTACAAATAAAACATTCTTATTCATCTTTTGAAAGTATTCGCCAATATAACTTTTGCCCGTGCCTGGGAATTTACCTTTTATAATCACTGGGTTTTGTTTAATAATCTTCTTACATATTTCTTCTGTATTCCATTCATCTTGAACATCAATATTGAAATTTCTGATTTTAGGTATTTCTGGAACTTCATTATATTTATATGTATATGAGTTGGTAGGTAGTTGGATATGTTTTTTATCTTCTATCCTCCAATCGCCTATCTCATTACCACATTTCAGCAGTCCATTGCTTCTTCCAAATAATTGAAAACGAAAAACTTTATCTAAATCATCTTCATGAATAGTGAAGGCATCTGTTTTAACACTATACACCTTGACATTATTATCAGTCATTGTTTTGTAAGCTTCATACATTTTGAAATTATGATATTGTAATAGCAATTCTTTTATCGGCAGAAATCCGTTGGTTAAAACTTTTTTGTCAGCAACATTCAACACATAGTATGTTTCACCAACAGGAGATTCTTCTAATTGAGAGCTATCTTCATCTACTTCTACCAATTCCAATTGGCACTTGCTGATAGTGTAAATCTTGCCACCATATAGGCTATGGTAGTAACAGGCTTCTTTCAATGAACTAAATACACTGCTTTTTTGCGAAGTGTTATGCGATTTTTCAAGCATACCAGCGCTAATGTTAAATATTTTCTTATGGAGTTGCTTATTCAGGTCTTCGTTATCAGACAGTTTTGTATCATACAGTTCATCATTTTTTTTTTGTAATTTACTTTGTATACATGGTTAGGTTGCTTATACCATAATATTTTTAATTTTACATTATGTTTAATTAACTGTTTTAAACACTTTCCATACACCAAGTTATATTTTTTATTGAAAAAGATGTTGCCCTCATACACTTCCACAATGTATAAAGTCAAACCGTTTAACACATTGACATCACACTCATTCTTAAAAGGTTTGAAAATATCAAACTCTGTAAATCTAGGTATGCATTTAATACAGCATCCAGCATGTGTAAAAGCCTTTCTAATGTCAATCTCGCATAAATTGTTACTTGCTACATCTTTGATAAAATAACCGCTTGGGCAATTTTGTTGCCCGAGCGCTGGGGTGCAAGGCATCCTACCAATGGGGACAATTGTTTTACAGTCTTTCAATATCTGTATATCAACGTCATTGTAATAAGACAAATGGT